AAGCTACATTGGAAGGCAAAAAATTACATTAAAGGTTTTGGTTTTTTTTATAATTTAGTAGCAATATATTACACAAATTCCAAATTTATACTTAACAACAAAACATGGTATATATACTGTATATATATTTATATAAAAAAAAAGGAAAGGCAGAGAGAAATGCTTAAGGATTTGGGGTATATGCATACATTTCCTCAAATTTTGGCTCAAATAAATATGAAAGGTAAACCGTCTCATCCAGTTTAAAAATACCAGACTGGGACTTTTTTTTTCTTTAGAAAAGGGCTTGAATAAGAACATCAAAGGAAAAGTAAAGAGTAGAGACAACAGGACTCCTACAGGAAAACAAAAAAACCAAGAAACCCTCCTCTGCTTTAGTCTTTATACATTCCTTGAAATATCAGCCACTGTCCTGTTGAAGCGCAATCGACTGATGACGCGGCAGAGGAGGAGTCGTATCTAAAAACACGACAGGTAAAATGCTTTTGTTTCTCAATAATGCAGCAGTTGTGTCGAAACGTCCACTGCGCAGCGTGGCTCCAAACGTGTCCATTTGGATAATAAATTAGGCAATAAGGTACTGCATAACCACCGTGAGCGCACGAAACAGCCTTTGGGTGCAGCTGACAATGTTTTCACAACTGACTCAATCGTTTTTACAATGTTGAAATTTGACAGAAATTAAAGCTTCAAAAAGGAAGGATTGCTACAGCAGTGCAGCCATGCCTCGCAGGAGTCCGACTTCTCTCCTCCACCCGCCGAGTGAGCTGGATCGGTCTGTTTGAGGGATTTCTGCTGCGGTTTTTCAGTTCGTCAGCTGTGCTGATTGATCACGCCTCCGCCGCCTTTTGTTCATTCGTCTTTGATGAGTACCTGTTTGCACAAGACAAACGATGCCAGCACATTACTGCGGCTTCACTCGTTTTACTCTCTCTTCTGTTTGCAGTCTCTGCCAAGTAACGCGTCAGCTCGTATGGCTTTTCCGGTTCTTTGGCGGTACCTCGGTACAGTGCAGGAGTTCAAGAATTTACAAAACAAATAGTCTCGGGGGATTTGGTGAAAGCAGAAGGTCTTTAAAGCGAGTGCCGGAGAAATAAAAGACAAACATGCAGCATTTCTCTTTTTTTTTGTTTTTTTTCTTCTTCTTTTCTTTCAGTGTTCAGCTTCTTTTTTCTTTGTTCATCATCCTCTTTACTTTGTTTTCTCCTTCTCTTCTTGTCTAGCTGTCTGTCAGTCAGTAAGGCCTCCAGACAGATTCATCCAAGCGACCCGAAGCGCTCATGGCTGTGGGGGAGTTGCTGTGGCTGCCGTCGGCTTCCACGCCCTCGCTCTGGGTGTTTAGGCCCGGGTTCATCAGGCTGTTGGTCCCGCCAGCGCCTGTAGCCCCCGAGCAGGACAGTAGGCGGGTGGGAGAGCGCTCGCCCCCGGTATTCCCCGGAGCCACCATGGAGAACTGGTAGGATCCAGAGCCTGTGCCATAATACAGGTAGGAGTTGGACTGGAAGTTTTGGGATTGGTTGTTTGAGTAGGGTGGTGGCAGGTAGGTGTGGTATCTAGTAGAGGCTGACATGCTAAGGCCACTAATGCCGGTGCTGGAGGTGTTGGTGGAGTAGGGGAAGGCCCCGGGGTAGTGCATGCGGGGATCTGAGAAGCGAGGGTCGGTCAGCGGTGACAGAGACGGGAAGGTGGTCCTCTGCGGGAAGAGCTCTGTAGTCGCTGTTATAAAAACAGAGAAACAAAAGGTTGGAAAGAGCCAGAAAACATTCAAACTGCTCTTGCAATTATGAAACCAGCGACTCAGAGATCTCTCTTTTCTATTATTCCCAAGAAAAAAACAGACCCACATTTCCAGAGCAGCAAATCTCCCCAGACCCCCAATTCGGAGCTCAAGTTTCTTGCGATATACCGGTCCATGGAAATGTTTGCTCAAAGTAATGAACTGAGACATTTCTTTGCTTAATAACAGTCATCAAGCACTGACAGCACATCATCCCACAGCCCCGTGCACAAGACCGGAGTTATGAAAAGGCCCCCTTGCCACAGCCCTCCCACCACTGCTTCAAAAGACGCAACGCACAGTTTTCTATCTTTTTCAGAGCAATGAAAAGAGGCATTGTCTGCAGCGAGGGGTGCTTTGTATAAACACAGACGGCTCGCTGCGCTGTTGTGCGGCTTGTCATAAATCATATTTAGGTGGCAGAGGCGGACGGTCGCAGTCGGAGACGGTCGGAGAGACAGAGGAGGGGAGGGGACGCAGGAAGAGAAGTTGTGTTTCTGTGTATATCTAAACTAATGTGTATCACAGTGAAGGACCTGTCAGAGTCACTGCCAAGTGTAATCTCACAGGTAACGAAGCACAGCTGAACCAGGCTGCTGTGTCTGCCATGTCACTGCACACGTTCTCATTTATTCAGCTGGCAAAAGGGAAATAGAAATATCGCTGAAGGGTTCGGCTTGGCTCTGTGATTTGATGCCACTACTGTCACCAAGTAACTCAAACACCATATTTCCCTCCTCGCTCAGCTAAGGAGCGCTATTGGCTGATCTTACACCGCCCGAGCTTTGGAAACGAACCCATTCACAGATTTCTGAAAGCTGCCGACTGACACCTCCGATAGTATTTGTGTTTCAGTCCAAGTACAGCACCAGTTATTTTCCAAGTTTCTGCTTATTGTACTTAATACCTTTGTTTTATTTTCACTTTGTTTTAATTGCATGTAAGCTAAATGCTAAAATTACCTGCTACTGTTGTGGTTTTACTGGCTTCAGACACACTTTTAAATTCCCAGGTAAAGGTGTGAAATATTAAGTGTTGTTTGGCAAGTTGAGCGCGTTGAGTCTTTGTGTTCGTGATGCTCAGATATTTTGCAAAACAATAAGGTGGCCTTCAGCCAGAACAAACGCCCTTGACCTGGTTGTATGCCATAAAGACTGAGTGTTCCTCATACCTGATGTCAGCGCTCAGTCCACGCCTGTGTACGCCCGTGGTTATTTGTTTGTCTGTTTGTGGCTTCCATGGGTCCAGTCTGCCCACATGACTTCAAGTGTAAAATGTGGATTTGGATGGCAGAGAAAAGAAAGCTTGTATTTGTCAAATAGCAAGCGCTTGCACGCCACAGCCCCGAGGGGGGAGAATGCCAAACTTGCGTGCCACGGTCTTGTTGAAATGTCTTTTCCCTATGTCTGGAGAAGTGGGTCCATTTTCAGCTGCAAAAAAATCAGTTCCTTTGCAATTTCCATGGCCCCAGCTTTACTCTTTGTGTTTTTTTTCCAGCAACACATTGGTGCTGTTGAATTTCCTTTTTTTTTTTTTTTTTGGGAGGGGATGAGGGAGTTAGTAGTGGTGGTGGTGGGGGGGCTGTTTCTTTTTCCAGAGTCTACCAGGCACAGGAGTCGGGCTCCGTATCTGATTTCACGCGAGGAAAATCCAAGCCCTCAGCTGCTGTTGATTCGGGTGAAGTGGAGTCAGCCTACTAATTCCTACCGGACTCTCAAAAAGCTTTCGCTCCCTCTCCCCGTCTCTCGCTCTCTCTCCCTGTCTGTCCCTTCATCTGTCCCACTCTGTGCTAAATTTAGGCTTCGGGGTGAAACTGGGGAGGCGTTCTGCGGCTTGGGGACACGACAGCTCTCGCTGCTGCCGCCCACGCCGCCCACGCCGCCCACGCCGCCCACGACCTCCGCTTAATTGAAGTCGGTGGAAATGTGTGGGCCAAACTGCGGTGGGGATCGACTCCTGTGCTCCGTCAGGGGAAACTGGACTGGACGCTTATCACAACACCTTAATGGGCTTGTGCAGTCTCAGGTTTTTGGCTGGGAGCCCTGAGGAGTCTGGTACAGTACAGTAGCTCCCTCTGGAGGAGAGGGCTAAACAAAGTGTCCTGTAATCGAGAAGCAAAGTTTGCAGTCTGCTTTTTCTCCCTCTTGACTGCGTTGCATACCTTCCTGCATCCCCACCCTCCCCCACCCAACATAAGTGCAGGGTTTGCTGCTGCGGCTGTGGTAACGGTGGTGTATCTTTGGCAGAGAGGGTCTTCCTAACCGAGCCGAGTGCTCGCTGCCTGTAACCTCTACGGCACAAAACCACACATGATCTCCATTAGGCTCATCTGAAACGTGTTGACTAAATTGCAGGGACAGGATAAAGGATGGACCCCAGAGGCCTAGCTAGCACAGTGTGTGATGTTCTGAGCGTATGAAGCGGGTAGCTGGGAATCGAGGCTTTTATAGAGAACACGGTGTTCTAGCGTGAGCTCTGAAGTGCAGCGCCATGCTCTTTTTGAATCCTGCAGTGCCAAGGGTGGAGCCCTCCTCCTTTCTGCTTAGGTCAAGAAGTCCTCTAGTCCACACTCAAGCGTGTAACCCAGATATGACAGGAGGTTTGTCTTGTTTGCATACGGGAGAAACTGATTTTGGTTGTTAACACAAGGGCAGGTTTGAGGCGGTCACGTCTCTGTGTGTAATTGTGCACGGGCTTATGTGTGTGTGTGCGCACGTGTGCCTGAATGTGGTGGCTGACAATGGGGGGGGATGCAAATCCAGGCGTTCACCTGTGAAATGTTTACTCAGGCTTGATGCAAACTGTGACGGCCAGCACCCAGGGAAGGGTGTCTCAGGCAAATAAGTGGAAGGAGGAAAAAGAGAGAAGGCTGGTGCGGCTACGAGGAAAGAGCCACCGTGCTGCGTAATAAGAAAGTTTTCTAATCTTTTTCTCTGATATAATCGCTGAAAAGGCCCAGCTGCTCACAAGCAGAAAGCGTCTGGTTGATTTACAGTGGATGCCATTAGGTTGAGACGGCGCTGTTGATAATTGGCCGACGAGTACAGGGTAACGTAACGCCACGGCGGGGCCGGCGCTGCAGAATAGGAGACCCAAATGAACACAAATGATCTCCAGGTGTTTATTTAAGCGCCGAGGCTTTGGAGCCAGAGCATCGTGTCGGATGCAAATACCGATCACCTCTGTACTGTGGCAGCCCCAAAGCCTCGTCCATGTTAGCACTTCATCATGTGAGCGCGGAGGATTTTGCATGTTCTCAACTTGTGACATGCAACACAAGCACGGGAAAAAGAAGTCTGTGATTACAAAAACCCTGAGATTTCCCTAATGCGTCGACACACGAGGTGACACGATTAAAATATTTTTTTGTTAAGTAAATCTTTTTCTGCGAGAGATACGATACTCACTTGTAAAGCGACCGGTGTGATGTATTTGTTAAGCAGTCATTGGGATTGTAGCTACATGAGAATCGCTGTTGTTAAATTGTTTTCTCACTGCTTCCAGTCTCTCACACGGCCCCGAGTGCCTTTGCACAGACGCATAATTCTGCTGTGTCAGCGCTCGGACACATTTCTCTTCTTTGCCTTAGACATTGTGTTGTATCTGATAAAATGCAGAAAAGAGAGCAAGAGCGCCGTGCTAAATCTAAGAGTCATTTTGTGTCACAGCGTGAGCGTATGAGTCAGCACGTCCGGTGTGGAGTGGTGGGTTGTGTGTGGGAGAATGCAAGACTGAGAGGGCTTTTGATCAAAATCGCCAAGATACAAATGAAACAAAGAAGAAGGATGGTGGCACTACGGGAACGCCGTGTGATGTAGTCGGGCCCTACAGGCAAAATGAAACAGACTAATATCATTGGTACGCTGGCGCGCCCTCTTTCCAGCTTTTTTCTTTCGGTTTGGAAAAACGACGTTTACTAATTAAAACAAAGCAGTGCGAGATGTTTTTAAAGACTTATATTCAAAAGGATCTCCATTGTGTTTTGCACGCTTGCTCACACAAGTCCTTACTAGTGACTTCACCCTTCAGGCTGCTTTTTCGCAACTCGGTTTCAAATTGAAACACACGCACAAAGACACCGTCATGCATAAACAACATCCTAAAATAAATACAGTCTCATGCTTAGTTAAATTAGTTCTTTTATCAAGTATGAAGTGTAATAGTGAGACTTCTTGCAAGAACCAACCATGACAAACGTCTCTCCCCTTACAACCAGTGTGCAGTCTGAGACACTTTCTGATTTGATTTCGACTTAAATATGTTTAATTTAATTTACGTATATTTGATCTATAACTGTTGATTGCACGAACTGTCCTCGTATAATTTTCTGTATGACGGTATTTTATTGCGTATGACGTGTTTTTAGAAACCTCCCTGTCAAGCTGAGTGTGTGGGGTAAAAATAAAAGCAGTGCATTGCAGTGTCTCACCTGGCCATGGTCTCAGGTCCTCCTCCACCTTGCAGGTCTTCAGGGTGGGGGTGTCCATCTGCTCCTGCCACAGGGCTGCAAGAACACACACAGATACAAGCAATATGTGAGGATGTGGGCTTTATAAACAATCCAGTAGAGCAATTCTGGGAATTAATACGAGTTGTGTGCGTGTACGGGGTGAGGAGGTCACTGCCTGCGCCTGAGCAATCTAAAACACAATCCAAAAACGCCTTCTCGACAGACTGGGCAGAACCGTCTTGACATCTGGACATTTGGAGATGTTTTCCTGTCACAGGTCGGTCTCTGCTGACTGAGCAGTGAAGGCTGGGAAGAGGAGGGGTGGTTTTCTCACCACGGTGAGACCGAGCTTGGAAAAACATGCTCGATGGGTGCATATGAGATATTTTTGGGACTTTCAGGCGAGACGCCGGAGAGACCTGTGAAGCTTCTCCAGCCAAGCTGTCAGGAAGCCGAGGAGGGTCGAGGAGCTACTGGCCCAACGCGTGGGACCCTGCTTCACACTGGACGGTCACACCGCAGCACAAACAGCTGGCTGTTTGCTCTCGGTCTGAGACGGCGCAGTCGTTACACGACAACGCGCACGAAGCTGCGTGGAGCGCCTCGGCACATGTGCTGCGTGACAGCCCAGTGGATAGTGTTACGTCTCGTTTAAAACTTTTTCATCAAATGTGCGTAAATATAAGAAAAACGTGCATTACAATTTTTCTCGTGTCGTCTCCCTTTAACGACAGCATCAATCAGCCGTCTAACCTCAGCGTGACTCCGCACACCCTCCCTCTCCCAGCCTCCTGTAGCGGCAATTAGGATGGAGAGGGGGGTGCCAGAGGCAGAGAGGAGGGCGGTGCTGGGTTGTTCACCTATAGCCACACTGGGCTTAACTAGTGTACGATCTCTGCTTCCCCTGGAGCTCCTGCACTTCCTTTGCAAAGACCCAAATCAGCACTCAGTCACCGAGAGGTCCTGCACTGTGCCTCACAATGGCAAATTCTTACACATAAATGGCCTTATTCAGAAAGGCTTGCAAGCAGCTGGTGCGATTCGCTCAAGAAAATAAACATTTCCTTCAAATATTTTGATTGGCCAGCAGACAACGTCAATACCAGAGGCACAGATTACCCCTGTTAATAAGACGGCCGGCCGCCCCTCAGCCCTGGGCGGAGCCGAGGAAAGAGGAAGGCGGTGGCTGAGCAGTGGCCACCGCGTCACTAATGAGAAGCTTTTGGGGGCGGTGCCAGTGTAGTTTCGGAACACACATGTGCTGCTTTTTGAAGCGCATGTGTACATGAAAGGAGGCGGCTGAGAAGATGTTAGAGCCAAAATGGCGTCCATCCTCGTGACTCCGGATCCAGCGACGCCTCTGAGACATGTAACGCGCCTGCCGTAATGAAGCGTGTCATTGAGACACAGTGAATGCCGGTCCTTGTGCTGGCTTCCTGTTTCGCTCAGGCCTCAGGCGTCGCAACAGGGAGAGAATGTGAGAGAGCGAGCAAGACAGAAAGAAAGACGCCAGCGAGGGAAGGGGGGAGAAAGAGAGCGTGTTAGAGAGGGGAGGGACACGGCCTTGGCTCAGCTATGTGGGACATTTGATATGTCTTTTGAGCCCTCACTTATAACGTGAGCAAAAACAAACACATGGGCTGAAAAATCCTATGTTCTCTTTCAGGGCTCGTCGTCCGCCCGCCCTTCCCCTCTCCCCAGACTCAATAGAGACTGTTCATGGCTCACATGTAGTTTCTGTAATTGCTGAAATGTAAAACTGGGCCCGGCTCTGATGTGAAATTATAACTTACACAAACAGTTGAGTCTGGTAAAAAACATCTCGCTCTCACTTCTCCTTTTCTTTGTTTTTTTTTTTGTGTGTTTTTTCCCCACCAGGGCTTCAAAAGAGCTTTTTTTTTTCCTCAGTTGAAGAAAAGAAACATTTTCAGTTTGAATTATTCATCTCAGGGTCACAAAAAGAGACTAACCACAAGTGAAGCTTTCAGGCACCATAACAAATAAACTCTGTGGTGGCCATTGACATATTATGTAAATAGTGGAGTGCAGAAGTAAAACAGAGTGTCTAAAGGACTGTTCCAGTTCCTGCTCGTTTTAGCTGCATTTACCTCAGAGGGCCAGCTTCCTGCTCGGGTTTGGCACAAGTCTGCATGAAAACCAACGAGCGCGCTGGCTATACTCCACAGCTACCTGACGGCGCTAACTTCCTGTCTTCTAATTGGCTGATCGTGTCGTTCGGGATGTGTGAATTAGCTCGAGCCTCTCAGTTTGCGGCAGTAGCAGAGCGCCGCCTCGAATCTGGGGGGCCGGCCGGCTTGTTTATGTGGAGTAAACAGTGTGGTCACTGTGGACGAGGCAGGAGGGGCTGAATCAGGCCGGCCCTCCATCAAACGGGACTTTTTCGAGTCAATTCCAACTCGGAGGCCACAGCCTGAACGCACTGAGCGAGCGCGCCAGAGCCGAGCTGCAGCAGATGTGCGCCAGTTGTGCAGCGTGACGCCAGCGGTACCAGCATTTGTAGAAGAGTCATTAACGGGCAAGAGCTTTCCGGGTAAAAGCTGAATACGGCAAAAAAAATGCAGTGAGTAATATAGTAGATCTGGAAGATTACGCCGAGTTTTTCAGCAACATCACCACATGACTCAGACACACACACACGCACACACTTTTGGGCCGTCATCAAAGCCCTGAGCACTTGACTCGATGGTGGAACGTTATGCTAGTATCTGATATTCATCTTCAGAGAGGAACACACAGGTGTTGGAACAAATAACACGTTAAGTGATACCACCTCAAAAGTGCCAGGACTTTCTTTTTGGATGATTAAATTGGTGCTCCGTTTCTTTTCTCCCCCTCCCGCCTCTCTAACTGTTAAAACACATTTAAAGTTAAAAGAGCGTCTTTCTTCTCCGCCGTCTGTTAGAGGCTCTGCCAAGGGCTTGTTGAGTTTTGTCTGCTTTTAAAACGGATTAGGGTAAAACTGGAATCTGTTTTCCACTTTTAACTTTGATATAAATGAATCACATTATCAATCAGCTGCTCGCTTCCCTTAAGACTGTAAATGTTGTCGAATACATTGTGTATCTGTGGGTGGCAGTTTTTTTTCTTCCCTTCCTCTGATACACATAGTGTACACATGTAGCTCACTTGAGGTTTTGAAAACCAGAATAACAATTTAGTACTTGATTGTCTGAGTGTCAGATTTGCTTGACTGCACGAGTTGAACCATGCATTTTTCAACCACACACACACACACAGTCCCTCCACCCTAGCTGAGAATCATTCCACATGTCTAGCAGGCTTACCTGTGGACACAGAAGAACAAAAACAAGCAGCGAGTGTAGCGTCTGCCAGCGCGCAGGAATCCTGTCACTGCATGCACTGTAATGAGCTCTTAATTACCCTGTCTGTCTGGGGCACTAGCGGAGAACTTGCAACACTAGAATGAAACTATGTGTGTGTGTTTTTATTTTCAGTGTGCTTATGGTGCAATCATCTTTGTCTCGCTGTGATTTAAGAATCCAGCGGTAGCTGATGTCTGCAGACGTGTCCTGTTGACGAGCAAACTGAGACGGTATTTCACGGCTCAGACAACAATATGAAGCAAGGAGGCATTAGGAGGAGGGTGACACTATGCTTTCCTTTTTGTAGATGTCTTCAGAGGGGACGGGGTTGGAGGGGGGGAGGTTCCAGCCTCGGATAATGGAAAACATCTTTTGTAACAGCAAGAAGGGAATCCATTTAATTATAACATGTTGATGGGCGATTTATCACCCGGCAATTCTCAAACAAACAGGCTTCGGGACTTAAAGTATCTGCAAAGTACAACAGCGTCTGGCGGGGATTGTCAAAAGCAGAGACGTGTGTGTTGTTGATATGTAAACACCTCCCTGTGTCTCTGGATGGGATTTATTACAACGAGTCTATTTTTGTTTGAGCTTTGCTCGTAATGCTGTCGCGCTGTCGTCTGTGCGCGAATGCTACGCATACGGGACCGCTCTGCTGGATCCGTGCCACAACATACATCCACGGGCTGCCGCTCAACCGGCGGATAGACGAGGTGGGAGGGAGAAAGGCTCTCTCCTCTGTTATTTAATTATTTTACCACTCTTGCCCTGCGGTGTGCCGTCACGACGGTAATACCACAGATTAAGGTGTGTGGTTTTTACAGCCCTTCCCCTCGTCTGTCTCGCTCACACGCGCTTCTTATAGACAGCCTCGAGTCACCGGCAGCTGTAACTTGAAGCTCAAGGCCTTTAACTTATCTTGACACTTCCAAGAGATGTTAGCGTGTTGTGTCTGCTCTCCCACTACATGTGTGCGTTGCAACATCGCAGGCCTTTGAAGCCAGGCGAGTCTAATTCCTGCCCTAATCCTGCGAGAGGCAGACGAGAGCCGAGCGCTTCGTCTGCCGTCTGGACCGTGTCTATACACCTCTCCCCGCCGATTGGCGTGCATCCCCGCCGGCCCGCCCATGCGCTACCCCCACCCACTTTTCAAGCCAGAAACCTAAAGCGTGAGCTTTGCTGCAGGGGTCTTTTTATTGGCAGGCAACCCTGCGAACCCCGAGCCGTCAGAAAACGATCATCGCAGTGACTGTATTGTGTCGAAGAGCCGCGCCGTTTAGTTTCAGCATAACCTGTCGCTTTGTTTTTAAAATGGCTGACGTGTTTTGATCTGGGTACACGCCGTACAGGGGAACAAAAGCGATATCAACAGTAAGGACAGAGGAGAGCAGGGTGAAAGACCCCGTGTTCTCTGCAGTCAGCTGTTAGATAGCCCCATACTGGTGAGTCAGTGCTGGCTAAGCTAAGCACAAGGCCAAACAGTGTGCACACTGATAGTGTTCCACCCACACACGGCTCAGAGCTCCCAAACAAGCCCTCCTGTACACAGCAGCGTGCTGATACAAAGGTAATGAGATTCATTAGCCGGCATGAGAACCAGAGAGTGGGCCGAAGTTTGCGTTCAGGCATGTGTGCTTCCTGTTAAAGAGGCTCCAACAGAGAAGGAAGAGTCATCCTCACCCACGCAGCTGTCCACAGCTGACACACAGCCTCCTCCCTTCCAGTCGCACCACCTCTGTCTGACTCTCAGCTCTCCCCCCCCCAGCCGCCCCCGCACCCCTACACATTCGGACAGTCTCAGACTGACGTGATTGCCAAGGTAGCGGAAGGCTGCTACATTCCTGAGGCTGTAGTCGCGCGGTGTGCGGAGGCCAGCTTCGGCACCTCGGCCAAGCTCGGCTGGCAGCGGCGGCCGTGCCACCTGGCCGCGGATTCTACCCCGCGCGCTGTGGGGCCCAGACCCACCAGCGCAGGGCATCCGGGGACAAAGCTGACACGAGCTTCCCCTCGAACGGCCAACGCATAACTGCTCTCAGATTAGTGGAACAGACCTCAGGAAAGTTTGTGGAGAACATGAAAGTCTCTTGGCTTAGCTCAGGGCGAGGTGAACAGCGTGTGCTGTGCTGACATATGAACAGATTCAATTACTTCAGCCAAATTAAACCAAATATGTTCGGCTTATTAAAGGAGATTTTCAGTTCTAAGTCTTTAAAGAGCCAAATTAAAGTGTACAAATTCTTCCTTCTAACTCATTTTTGAAAATATGGGCTGTAGAT